GGGCAACGTTGAACCAACCGTTGGTACATCGTTAGCTCAACGACTGATTTACAACTCCTTATCGTTGGCCACTCGTAACAACCACATTTTTAAGTCCTCATTGTTGGACCTTCTTTGGGCCGACCGCACAAATTAAGTTATCATAATTGGCCCTTTGTTGGGCCAATTTCACTTTTTTTTCATTATTTACCTTTCGATGGCCCAACTATACAATTTTAATCATATTCATTGGCCCTTCATTGGGCCAACCATATATCATTTATGTCAAAATATAGCAAGAAAGTAGTTTGATTACTTTCACATTTCAATAAAAGTTATTGAAAAATCATCAAAAAGACACATATCTGATATTAACTGTGGCACATTTTTTATTAAAATTCATAGATCTGAGAGAACATCAATTCAAGATATATAACAAAGATTTTTTTTAAATTCACATAGAAAAATACATATTGAATGTCTTTAGAGTTCATTTTGTACTTCAAGTTTTTTCTACTCTCCACTCTCTCAATGTTTCAAAAGCATCCTTTTCCTTCTCCCACCTTCACGGTCTTATTTGTATATCTATTCTTTTATAGTTTAACTGCAGAATATTCATCTACATTTAAAAAACATAGTATTAAACAAATTAAGGGTAGTCAGTAATCATAAGTAGATTGTAAGAAATTCATTGTTTCATTCACACTATCCGCCATTAAGTACTGATCAAAATTAAATCACATGTCTTTATTTCCGATTGCAGATTTAAATACACAAAACTGTGACAAGAGACAAACGAAATAAAAATGATAAAAACTATTTCTTTATATATAAAACAAAACAAAAACGCAGCAACAAAAACAACAAAATAAACAAAATATTGCATATTTATTTAGTTTACTTACATTTTTCAACCGTTTACTGTATGCTGGACCAAAATAGTTCAGTTATGTAAGATAATACGTCTTCGGCAGTCAGGCATCCATTGTGGGAAAGGATTTGCAATGAGCTCAGTTACCCTATTTCTTTGAAAGGTTTACATAACAAGGGTTAATGTGAGTTCAGCCTGAAAGATTTCAGAGATCTTCATTGTAACTTTTTATAATGGCACTTTAGACAGCTCAACATATAACATGTTCATAGCAAAGGCTTATCCTCGCAGAGTAATTATAAGTAGATAGTGGATATAACTGTGTAAGCTGGAGAAGTATTTACCTTCAATATCAGCTGTAAACAGTATCAATTAAATGCTGATGAAAAACAATGTGAATTACAAAAAAATAAGAATTACAAAATGAAAATAAAAAACAGCACTTTCCTAATATTAATATATTCATTTGCACTTAAAATTAATCTGTTAACATACATATATCAATGCAGCTTCTGTTTTCTATAATTTGTTAAGGTTTTTTTTTTAAAGATAAATTTTGTGATAAAAAATGAAATAATGAAATTAAAAAGATAACATGTAGGTTTATTTTAGACGTGAATTTATACGTAGTTGGCCCAACGTTGGTCCAACAACATCTTTTAAATTTTTATTTATCTTTGTTGGCCCAATTCAGAAAATTCGATAGCGGAAAACTGCTGCTGGTTCGGCAATGGCCAAATAAGTGCATTTACAATACTAAAAAATCCTAGTTCAAACATCGATTTTTCTTTGACGATTTTCCGTGGTTGGCCTAATAACTTTATGTTTACAGGGGCATGCATATATATTTGTTACAGTAAAATCAGAATTATATTTCAAAAGTCAAAGGCTTCCGGCACGTTACGAAGGTTATACAAGAGATAATTAAATCAAAACTTGAGATATCAGCAAACACAGTAGTGTTGAGTAAATGCAGGCATTGCTTGATAAAGGTATGGGAACATACATAGGCAAGTTAGATTGATTTTCACATAAACGTGATTTTATCAAGTTTTTATTGACAACCGAAAATTTGTATGGCAGCTATGTTTATCCAAACGTTCCCTACATAAGTAGATTATTATCGGCATTTAAGTATAAGATGGTGAAAGTTAGAATATGCTTATATCTGCACAAACATCCCATCCTTTTGAGACTCTCATATAGTAACCCTAGCACAAGCCCGAAAACACATAGCACATGATAACTATCACAAAAAGTGAACACACAAAATTCTCTTAAGTTAAGTTAAGGTTAACTGTTATTTATTTATTCTTTTCTTGGCTGTATATAAAGTACATGTAATTGACATTTTAAAAGGCGGGTTGTATGAATAATATAAATAACGTAATTCGCTAGTAACTAGTTTACTCTAGCACAAATCTTATCGCCTGATGAAAGTCAAGTAGATCTAATATTATCAATTTAATTTGTATATAATACAGGCGAGACATGCTCCTGTTGTTTAAGGGAGATAGAAGCTTCATTCCCAAAACGTTACGAACACATTCACCAGATGTTTACATGGTAAGCTTTTCCGAAGCTTCGAAGTATTTTCTTGCATTTCTCCATATTTTTTTGTTAATGTTTACTGATAAATATACTTTGTGCGCATCGTTAATACCATAATCGATTTTGATATATACAAAATGTAAAAACAAAACAAAAAAATCTTCGTGATAAGTTTATGCAATAATACACGTTTCATTCGCAGAAAGTAGTGGGCTTATGTCACAGGATGAGAAAAATGTGCAGCCTGACCGGTACGTTGACCAGGGACCCTCGGAATACCGTTCCGCGGCTGTACTGACTGTGCTATCCGGCCGCTTGCACATATTCTCCTCTTAAGAGTAAACAGTTCTAAACATTAACATACTCCCCCACTATATTGAAATTCGTCCTCATATTTATCTGGGTTACAGAGCAATGTGAATTTAACTCTGAGCTATATGCAGTCATGGTCCCCCGTTGTGCGCCAAATGCCACAAGGTGAGAATAATGTTCAGCCTGACCGGAAACCTTGATTGCATATAGCTCAAATACAAGAGAAGCATAACTTGAAATGTTGCAAGCACGGATTACCTTTTTTGTTGTTTTGCTTCACGTGTGATTTTGTTACTGGAAAATTTCAATAATTTTTACAGTTTATTTCCTTAAGAAAATTAATGAATTATATACTTAAAATTTAACCGTTGCACACCCTAAAGAAAAATTTATTTGGTTATTACAGGCTCAAGGATTGCGATGTATTGGTACATCAATAACCGGAATGTTCTGGGGTAGGAAAATAAACCTTACATGCTAATCAATTATGATAAAGTCTGTACAGACAAAGAGTAGAAAGAAAATTATTATATTTGTTGTAATGATTGATACTTCGTTTTTTAGCTCCACATATTCAAATAAAGAAGTAAACCTTTTTTTAAAGCCTTCTCGCCGTTGTCGGAGTCGAAGTCAGCTATGCTTTTCGTGAAGTTTATTTTACGAGGAACTAATGAAACTATTCCCTTATAATTGGCATTCATGTTAATTGTCAAAAAGGTATCATCATCCTAAATTATCCCCTTTTTCATTTTAAATAATCTACCAAGAACTGAGAAAAGTTGATCGCGCTGTCCGCTGACAAGACTTGTTTTATGTAGCAAATAGATATACCTTGAGCAATATTACGTTAATGGCTATTTTCAATTTTTCATATTTCAGGAACATTATTTTGCTACCTTCTTGTCTTTTTGCCATTGGCGGCAATGTTTGTGACAATAAAAATCCTTAATCAGAGGAATCTACTTGACCAGATATGGATACAGTTCGAGTGGCTAATGTAACTATAACATTGTTATCATCACATTATCGATCTAACGATACAAAACATATGTTTACACATAGAGGGACTATTTCCGACTCTGGACCTAAACACCTCATATGTATGTGTGGTTGCGTGCATGCCTGCCTGCGTGCGTGGGTGTGTGTGTGTGATCACCCAAAGTATAATAAATACAGTTATAAAAGAATATTTGCTCGTGTTCAATACATTTATTGAACCATACATGAATTCATACAGTAAAAGAAAAAATAATCAGGTCACATGACATATTACAGGGAAGCGTTATTTGAAAAAGTAAGATGGGTTATTTTTCTTAAATAATAGTGTGCTACTGAATCCGACTGACACACATATATTTTTTAAACTTATCAGATGTTTTCTTGCAGATACCCGATATGCCTGGTCATCATATTCAAAGTGCAAATTCTTTTGATAGGTCTATTTTTCATCCAACCGAAAATAAACGCTGACGACAAATATAGACCGCTAGCTGTAGATAATAGGTAAAGAACTTGTGAACTAGTTGATAAAGTTGCTCTTTAGGAAGAAAAACCACATTAATTTTTACTTTCGGAATGAATTGCGAAATAAGTTAAAACAAATGGCCAAGTGATATATCGAGGGGTGCTGTTGTGCAATAATCTAAAAAAAAATCATAAATATTATACTTATGAATTTTATATAACTATCACGTGTTAATAGATTTGACAATATTTATTGAAAAACAAACATATGTAATTAAATAAAACAATATCTATATAATTAAACATAGTAAAATAACAAGCAAAACTTTGTCAGCTATAAGTGCAAAGTTTATTTACATATCAGTTTAAATTTTTTGTAGCAATATATTATTATTGCATGCACACAATTATTGACATTTTATGTATTTTTTCTTTTCTAAATCAAAGTAAATTAAAGAAATATACATATATATTATGAGACAGCTAACCGGTTGATAGTTTCTTCAACTTATTCAAGACAATTGTACACAAATTTGAACACTTTGATACAAAATCGACAATTTAGTCGAATGCTCGTCAAACAGACTTATGGTTGATCATTATGTCATCATTTCTGATTACAGGAATATGTACGACGTATTTAGCTTCTTCACTATTTTCCTTAATGCGAGTATCGGATTGTTTACCTTCCTCAAGCGTATTTTAGTTGGTGCATTTCTGGGCGTATTTATGATTCCAAGGATGGACCGAAGTCTGCTAATGCGAGGATATGAAGCTATGGATAAATGTTTGTATATCTTATATTGTAGTGACGGTTTTTAAACATTATTTTTTTCTTACTTTATACATCTTGTATTTATAATTATTTATCAATAGTAATACCTTGTTTGAAGTAAAGACATCTTCTTTGGTCTATTTTGATGTATTGTGTTATAAAAATGTTATTAAATAACTTTATTCTAAAATATTGTCGCTTTCTTATTCAAAATTAAGATTAAACAAAAAAAGCGGCAAATTTATTTCAAAATTGAGGGATATTGGGAAAGTGGCATATTCTCTACTTTGTTATTGCAAAATAAAATCAAATGTCAACTAGTTTCTATATTATATTCTGTTATGGCAATATCTTTATTTTAATGTTAATATCTGTAAAAGAAAAAGACAACTAAAGGTACACACACTTTATTTCAGAGATATTTGTCACTTAGGTTATGTATAACTTCAGGTTATGTGAACTACATCGGAATGATAATGGTTGATGTGGCACACAATCACCCTGTAATGCGCGTGTTTTGTTTCCTTGTGAAATCTGGGGTAGAAAATAGAAGATATAGAATACCTTTAAGATCTGCCGTGGAAAACACTGTATATGGCGATTTAAGTTTCTCGGAACATATACCTATTGAAACAGGTACTAAGGAGAACAAGATGTTAACAGCATTTATTTTACAAATGTACATGTATTGTAAATTGTACTTCCCATTCTTTTTGCAAGAATTATTTTCTATACTTTCTTATTATCAAAATATCAACTTGTACTCTTTTACATAACTCTAACACTTTTGGCACAATTTTTAAAATAATAAACTCGTTTAAGAAATATAACTGTGTACGATATGTAGATATTAAAATATCATGAATGATGTATTTACAGAACACAGCATTGCTAAGAAAAGATGGTGGCTTGCATTTACCTTAATCCGGAACCCTTCTCTCGTGGCTTTGCGTGTTCGTGACTGTAACAGAGAATCTCGGCATAGCTTGACTTTAAGTCTTACGGACAATAAATACGATAACACGGCTCTTGTAAACCAGGATAATTCCGCATACACTCGATGCTTTTCTTTAAGATGTTGCAGAAACTACAAGTTTGAGATTCCTTCAAATATTCTCATCAATTTGGTGGCTTTGATTGTATTACTATCGATGCTTGTGTTTTATTCTGGGTTTTCTATATTGTTAAAGCTGTAATGTAGGAGAAAGTCAGTTTTGAGGTGTCAGCATCATTTGCTTTTTACTTTATACATGTTAACACAAACACAATGAATATAATATTTGATATGTAAAAGCAGAAATGAATATACTTTTATGTAAAATATCTTATCACCTTTGGGACTTTGCTACGAGTACACATAAATACATACGATTGTTTCAATTTGTTTCTGAGCTATAGCATTTAAAACAAAGATTCTCATAAATTCAAATGCGTCGCGCGCTTTAAACGTGAAAATCTCCCTACCCTGTCCTTAATTGGAATAAGTAAGGAATTTGCGGAGTCTAACAAATCTGGAAACAAAGTCATCATGAAACACCGCATCTTGTCCAGCAACTATACATATAATAATAACAATAGTTCATGTTTTATGGTTTAACATAACAATACGGTTGTCTTTTAACCAAATAAGAATATGTAAAATGAGACTTTCCGGAAGATAAAAAACAAAACAAAATTAAGTAACTGCGTCGCTCAGTTTGTTTTACGATATTTATACAACAAAGAGAAATTAACATTTGTCACAACTGCCATAAGCAGCATTTAATTTTTACCACTCAAAGAATCATGACCTATGATCTTAAACTATCAGTGAAATAAAACAACATTTTAACAACTTTTATACAACTTAAATACAGTGATTGACAATAGAGAAATGCAAGTAGAAAAGCAGCCTTTAAATTTACGACATTAATATACACCAAAACACCAAAACAGTGTTGATATGGAATTCAGAAACTCTTATGATGTGTCATATTCATGTCGTCAAGTTCACAACAGAATATTTTTGTAAATATTGACTTAATATTGACTAACGTTTTATAAATGGTGTTGGAGTTGTTGTTGTTGTCATAATGTAAGCTATTGAGAGAAGTTAAAAGACCCATTTAATTACATATCATGCTTCAAAATTCTTCTAATACCGATTATTCTCTGAATTATATTTTTCCTTATAAACAATAATGTTTACTAACAATTATCACATAACCATTTACAGTTAACATATATATATATGTCTTATTACAAATCAAATTCTAAGACGTAAGTCTTTTAAACTGTGTTTCTTGTTCAATGAATTGTGCTTTTATGAATTTATAATGATGGGTTGTAAGTAACTTAATGGTAAAATAATATTTTTGCGGTAACAATCACACTCTGCACCAGCAGGAAATTTGTTTCGTCTGCGCGCTTCGTTAAAAATCATTTTCCGTTACTTGCGTCAGGACCTAGTGCACTATTCGCGTTGAAATATAAGTATATTTAAATCGCACGCTCCCTACAACAGGCAATCTTTTTATTTCTTATTCTCGTAAAATATGCATGCCTATATCACACCCCCGCTGAGTAAAACATGTCTGTAACTCTGTCCATCATTGCTTGAATTACTTACACCTAGATTTATTTAGTATTTTCGTACAGATCTATCACTACATTTTGTTAAAAATGAAACATAATTATTTCATTTGCCAAAATGTGTTTTACCATGTCAACTCCTACATTTATAAAACCTTTTTTAATCAATAACAATTGTTTGTACTATCATAATTTTCCAATTGACTCACAATTATGTTCATAGTTAAAGACGATAATAACTGGTGTAATTGTTGCTACCTAATGTATAATAAATAAAACAATATTTTTACATTTTCTTGTCATTTTCTATCGGGCGAGGTCAGTCAAAAATGTTACTCTGGTTTTTATTTGTTTGGGTCGTCAGACCAAGCAAATAATGGTAGCGAAATTTCAGACCCTGATGTTCTTATTTGCAAATGCCGAAAGTAGTCCAAACTCCTCGAAGCGGTTACATCCCTTAATATGTACATTAACGCCGAAAAATTTAGGGGAGATCACTGCGAAAAGATTGTCAAATGACAGGCGCATTAAAAATAAAAACTATATGGTATTATTCAAGCAGTTATCTTATAACTCCCAGTGGTCGAGGGGTTTATACGCTCGCTTTAGAAGCGGGAGGTCCGTGGTACAAATCCAAGTTGAGTCAAATCGTGGTGTTTTTTTTTTTTTTTTTTTGGGGGGGGGGGGTCTTAATTGATTAAGCCAAATAAACATTGAATTGAATATCAGTGTTGCAATTAGTCTTATAGTCAATTTTCTATAGTTATTACGCTGGAAACAGAATTTGATGACACTTTACAAACAAATTGGTTTATAATCTCACAACCTACACCTTTCTGATATTCTGAGACCCAAACAAATTAAGCGCCTTCTGTGCTTTGATTATTATATTGACCGTCGGAAGTATGAAATACATATTTAAAGATCTATCTATTTAGAGAAATAACTGAAATTACACATATATTTAGTAATTGTATGAAATATTATGATAATGTCTTACAACTGTCGTGCAGGAATAATATATTGTTATTTTAAAAGTATTAAAATTTTATGTGTGATAAGATGAACAAGAGATTCTTCTTAGTTATGGTATGTTCCTTCAGGACTTATCATGAACACATCTTAGGCATATCTAATACTCAATATTAATAGACGACGGTGCATTTGACACAGGTTGGATCTGTTAATGAAGGTCCGTCACGGAACGTATATGTCACAGGTGTGGGACATATTCAGCCGAATTAATCACAAATGTGTTTATGTGCCATTAAAGCTTCAGCATTTTGGTAGTAAATGCCTGGCCGTATATGTCATAGATTTTACGCAGTAAACTAAAACTAGAATTGGCGTTTTAACTTACCTACATCAACGAAAATAATACATCATCATTATCATAAACAACATTATCATTGTCAACAACAACATTATTATTATCACATATGGTTAATCACTAATATTTTTGTTTATGTCCACGTCGCCTTGCTTATCATTTTACCAGTAAGATGATTTCTGTATCAATACACAGTGACTGGCATTGTCGAAAATATGTGCTATATATTTCGGACATTAATATTTATTGACTTGAAGATAATATGTTGACTTTTTATGCCCCCTTCTGAGGGGCAGGGGGTATAAACTTAATACATGTCTGTGTTCCTGTGCCAGAGTAAAACTTGAACGAACTTGAATGAAACGTGTCGATTACCCGCATTATTGTCCTTAACTTAGTCAAAATGATCAAGTTTCAACTTGTCATGCATGTTGTAGAAAAAACAATTAGAGTTTTTATATCAATGTTTGTAAGTATATATATTGTTGTACACGTGAGGTTTTCAGGTAGATGTGCACAATAATGCCATAATGAGTTTTTGTCCTTAAATCATAATTTTAAATTTTCACTTGTGTGGCTAAGTAGCTGAAAAGTGTTTGGAGCAAGGAAAGAACCCTCACAAGAATGCTGGTCAGCATATATTGTTGTGCATTTGGGATTTCACTTGTTAATTTGAGCTGTCATAGTTATAGCTCTTGACTCGGGAAATTTTGTGTAAAAGGTGGGTAGTGAGGGGATATGTGATCTATGGTTTTAATAAAACTAATTTCCATGTTAAAGATAATTTTTAAGTATTGGTTTTCATGATTTTATAATTATGTTTTACAAAAACTCGCAAATGTATATTCTAATCATTAATAATAAAAATCCACAATAGTTAGTATATAATTTCGAACCTAGCCAGTCACTGATCACCTTTGTGTCAATACGCACAAAGTTGTGACAAATTTCAATCTTTTGTTCAAAATGGTTTTTTTCTTTTAAGTTTATAAAACAATACACTCTTAAGTTTTTGTAAGTTTATGTTATATATTGTACACAAAACGTGATTTTGACATGTACTTTACAAATGACGTTATACATCTAAAGGATTAATTATTTTACGACGTGATTTAGATATAAGAAAAATCAAAACTTTTTTAATCACGAAATAATGATTTTTGATTATTTTAAAAAATCTTTTTCTTCAAGCTGCAAACCAGATGTGGTGCACACGAAAAGACATAGAATGAATCGAGTTCTGTTCACTCCGCATTTTAAACTTGCTCCTTTAACATTATGTTATGCCTAAAGCCATCATGGCCATTTTCGAAATGACGATTGAACGCGTTGAAAAAACTGTTTGACATATTTTAACATGCATTCTACGTTTGCTTTTTGCATGGTTGCAGCATATGTGCCATTAAAGGTCTAGCAAGATGAGATTTTTCCTGATGAATCACAAAGTATGGATTATACAATGTTTAGGGGTAGTGTCGGCATAATGGCTAAGATGTTTGCCTCTCAACCCAAGGATTATAGGTTCGGACCCAACTCGGGTCACGACCATGTTTTCTCATTTGGCACCAGTACTTGTTAGTTCAAAAAAGCGGACTCTAAAGTGATTAATATAAGTTGAAAGAACGTATTTCGCCATCAAGCGTAGAAAAATATGTTTAAACTAACATCATGAAGCTTTATTAAGGGCACTGGAAGCCGAAAGAAATATACAAAACATATTTTAGTGCAATACAAAATTCTATTCTTGTTTACAGTGATATTGCATTACGATACACACGAAATATGTTTTGCGCTAATTTGGTGAAATATTTGTTCACTTTACACTTTAAAAAAATGGTAAATGGCTTATGATGATAGTGGTGATGAAGATGGCGGTTGTGGTATTTACGATTCCGTCTTTTTTATTAATAAACGGTTTTGTGCAAAACGGACTTTTTAAAGTGAAAAAAGAACACATGCGACGTATACGTTGTTATTTTCATTTTAATTCTTATTTTTGGTAAGTGATAAATACGTTTTGGTGAGCAAAGAAAAACTTACTTCGATTAAATAAGACACACGTGTGACAAATTCGAACCGAATATTTCACACATGTGTCATATCCGGTCCGTGATATATGTCCGACAAGGCCGATCTCTGTATCTTTCCGTTGACAAAGTTTACATAACTATTATCCATCGCAATCGTAAGAGAGCACATTATTTGTCTTAAAAATCTCCAAAATTATCATTTTAAAAGACAAATATAGCACATTACACTTTTGTATTAAGTAATGCTTTTTAAATTATCTAAATTTATTACAATAATTTTATCACTTTATGTCATGATTTCCCACGCATAATGTAAATATTCTTCGTAAATTAATTTGAGGGAAAAAATGTGTAAGATTACATTTGCAGAATTCTCTAAGCAAACACGGAACTTGAGAAACGCCTTTTAAAGTCCTTTCTACCAGTTCCTATTTATGATTTATATTACATATTATGTTTTGTTTAAATTCATATTCAAATATATTTGGTCAATCTATATTATAATATAAATACGAAATTTTAAATAACGACCTGAATTGCACAAGTGTTTGGTTTGAATGTATGATACGTTTTGTTATATTCAGAATTATATCTGTGTTTTTTTTTATTTGTTTGTTTTTATGTTTGTTTTTTTTGTTTCTTTAAAGAATAACATTGATGTGAAGAAAATCGTGTCTTGCTCCTAAAGAATAGACTGCTTGAAGTGTATAAAGATATATATATCTGCTGCAAAAAATCTCATATGAAAACAAACATACTTTATAAAAGAATTATGGTAAAGTTGTGCCTTCTAAGCAAATTGTGCATATAATAAATCATTAATGGTTAAAATCTTAATCAAAACAACAGCATAATATTTAATTCCCGAACAGTTTAGTCAGTACGAATAATATTATTTGAGTTGAATAAGATAGGCATGATGTTACAACTCTTCCAATAATTGACATTGAGATTATGGAATCAATATAATCTCACTGTTAACATAGTTCATAAGAAACCGTTTTTCGTGATGATTTTGTCATTTTGCCACGATAGATAGATAGATACTTTTATTTCCTCCAAAGATGAAGAGCATAACAGTATTTACAGATACAATATTTACAGTAACAATACATGTATAATACCATTTAAATATTATGCGATAACATTACAAAAATATATCATAACAAAAACAAAAATCATATATATTGTGGGATCTATATCAAATCTCTTATTCTATGGCAAAAGTAATTCACACCTGTGTTTAATTCATTGATCTATTATCTAACATAAAAAACATGGCAACTACAAGTGTATCCTTAATATGATTGTAAGCATTTCTCCTTTATATAGCTTCAACGAAATCGAAACTAAAGCTTTTTAAAGTGGGAAACACCTTTTATTGATTTCTTAAAAATAATGAAGGGGAATTGGCAAAAAGTGCTAAATAAAAGTCATATCTTCTTCTTAACAGAAGATATAGTTAATATAAAGCTGTAGTTAATTATTTTAGTATTTTCTTCATTTATACAAAATGATGAAAGATTATGAAAGGAAAACCCAATTTTATACAGTTTTGAATAGTGTAAAACTTTAATAAATAATTCATGAGATATTCTACTTATTCATAGAAGTATTTATATTTTAGTTTTCTAGCACTCGAGGATTAAATATATCATGGTTTATTTCTTACATAATTACAGATAAGACATACGTATCAGAAGACATTTCTCATTGGTACAAATACAAATTACAATATACACAACATATAACGTTCGAAAATGTATCACAATTCATGTCAATACATCATTTAATCTAATAAACGTAATAGTGATTTAGTTAATGAGAAATTTATGAAAATGCGTTCGTCATTTTTCACGGCGAGCCCCATTATAGTTTTACATTGTTCAAGAGGACAATCTGTTATTAGCTCACGGAACCAAGTAAATC